TCTTCAGTGGGAGCAGTCTTTGGATCCTTCCTTGGGCGTGAACACCTCCATTGGGAGATACTAATTCTCTGTATCAGGTACATCCTCCCTCCTACTCCTTTTGGTTCAGATCTAGTTTGGTTCATGGTTCAAGATTGATCCTTAAAAAATATATTTTCTAAAATAGGGAATTCGATTCCCTGCAAAGATGGGAGAAATTTTTGAAATTCGCCCAGTCCTTTCCGCTAGACTTGGGCGTCCATGTGATGGATATCCCATCCCTTCACATTTCTGCCACACTCATTTTCTAAACATGTTGTTTCTTGACATTTTGGGCAATAGGTTGATGAATTGAAATTTACTACTGCTGCTTATCAACACAAGAAGAAGAAGAAGAAGAAGAAAAAGAAATCCCACACACAAATGAGGAAGGAAAACTAAATGGTCGTTTCCAAGTTGAAAAATAGGTCCCATTCAGAGTGATATAGATTGAATGCTGTTTTAGCAGGAAATTAGGTGGTTTGTTTCCAGGAAAGTAGCAGGTTCAAGTAGGAAGGTGGCCATTTCATGCTATAAGACATGGAAGTTAGGTTTTGTACCTAGTTCATCCCTCCCAAGTCCCAACAGATGCAACCGGAATTGGGTAATGGCTTTTTTTTTCATTTCAAGTGCCCATGAATGATCTAAACAATAGACCCTACATTCGGGAAAAAGATGAGGGAAGATTTTTTTTAGAAAGCCAGTGAGGGAAGATGATGAGGGAGATAAATTTATGTGAAGATTTTAGAAGGAATTTTCATACTCAGCAAATAACCTAGCAAGGATAGGATTAACAAGAACGAGTTGGAATGGGGAATGCTAGGGCTAGGTTTAAATCTGTTATTGTCTATATGCATATCTTACAGTATGATCGGTTCAGTCATTGGCTGCTTAGCTCTTCCTGCATTGCTTTTCCAAGATAAATGGAAAGTAGAGTTATTATTTTTTTTTGAACTTTTTAATCTATGAAATTCACTGTTACTGATAAAAAAATTATCACAAGGCAGCCATAAGGCCAATAATATTATGATTGTCTATGCATATCTTACAATATGATTGGTTCAGTCATTGGCTTCTTAGTTCTTCTTGCATTGCTTTTCCAAGATAAATGGAAAGTAGGGTAATTATTTTATTTGAACTTTTTAATCTATGAAATTCACTGTTACTGCTAAAAAAATAATCAAAAGGCAGACATAAGGCCAATAATACTATATGGCAAAGGCAGGCTGTCGGCCAGGAAAAAATTGCACTGTAGCTAGAATTTAGTTGTTTAGAGTGATGAAACCGAGAAAAAAACAGATAGAATCAGAATCAAGCACGTTATTGGATAGTAATGGTGTCTCTCCAATAAGTAACTAGATGAAGGAATGCATAAGAAACCCATTAGATAAAGCTTCAGTGGATTAAGAGAAGTGCAAATTCCTTTGTGGATGCACTTGCTAAACAAGGGGTGGGAGGAGCCAGTCTTTTTTGGGCAATTTTGTAATATGCATTTTGTTCTTGGGGAGGGTTAAGAGAATTTACCCCTCCCATTGCTCTTTTGTATCTGCTTGTTTTTTTAATAAAAGTTCAATTATTTATCAAAATAATATAGAACAAATGATATTGTATAAGTCAAATGTTAGGGATGATCATTGGCTGGGCCAGAATGAGTTTAGAACCTATACTAAGGGGCATATCCCAGGACCAGGCCAGCCCCTACCCCAGGGCTTAAAATATAAGCCCAGGTCTAGCGCCTGGGATAGGATTCCAGGCCTACAATTTTAAATATACTATGTTCGAAATATAATATATTAAAACATACCTTATGCTTCATTTATTACATGTCATCATCGTCATCATCATATAAGCCTTCTCCCAACTATATGAGCTCGTCTACATGAATCCTGTTTCACAATTCCATTCTGTTCAGTGTCTTATCCATTTTTAAATTATGGCCACTTAAATCATTTCTTATTACTTTCACCCGAGTTCATTTCAGTTTGCCCCTAGCTCTTCTAGCCTCTTCAGCTTGTAATAGATCACTTTCTGAACCAGTGCTGTAGATGGTCTTCTATGCATGTGACCAAACCATTTCAATCTACTTTTTCTCATTTTATCGCCTATTGGATCTACTCCTATATTCCTTCATATGACTTCCTTTCTAACCCTGCCCTTTCTAGCTTTACCACTCATCCAACTAAGCATTTGTATTTCTGCGACATTTGTTTTTGGACATGTTGTTTCTTGATTACCCAATACTTTGCTCCAAACAACATAGCAGGCCTTACAATTGTTTATAGAATTGTCTTTATAGCCAAAGTGACAGTCACCTTATTTTATCAGCAATAAAGGAATTCATTCATTAAATAATTAAAAGAGTTACAACAAGAGGTTGTGAAAACAACAAAAAGAGCATAGACACTACAATCTCACCCCACCACCCTTTTTACATTTGAACTCAAACATTTTTTTTCTAGTAACCCCTTGTTTATCCAACCAGTTTGCAGACCTTTGTACCCATCGATTTGTATCTGCAATTCTGCATGTCTTTTGAGAACCATTAAACTGTCTTAATTCATTCCTGTAATTCCACACCACATTCTTTTCATTCATTAACCAGCCAACTACCTTCAAATCACATTCAATCATCAACCTCTCTCAACTCCCATTTCTTTATCTCTCTGCACCCTAAATACTACAGCTAAAACTTCTGCCCTTACTGAATCACCTTCTCCTATTGGACTTAAATACATTACACATATGGTTCATTCTCATCCTTTACATCACTTCCCCAATTGCAGAAGGTCCAGGATTATCCATACTGCTGCCATCAAAGTTTAGCTTCAACTTCAAGCACACTCTGTTTGAAGGTGTCCAATCCTCTTTTATTTTTGGTTTTTTAGAAGAAGACCCTGCTACAGACCCCCCCCCCCCAACTTTTAATAATGTCATCCATAGTGAAGTAAAAGAAAAGCTCCAATGTCTTCACCCATTATGTTACTCTTAAAGTGATGGTTTTGATTAATGCCTCCCTACTTCTCTCTTTCTCCTCAAAAACTCATGCATTCCTCTCTTCCCAAAGTGTCCAAATCACTGCTATCCTTGTGCATTTTCACATGATTCTATCACTTCTTTTTGAGTATCCCATCATAGACATGTCAAACAACATGTCCAAGCTAACAGAGGGTTCAACTTCAACCTGCACCCAAAAAGAGCAAAAAACCATTCCCAAATACAGCAAATAAATAGACAGGAAATTATGCGGGGGTAAGCAATTTCACCATTATACATTATACACCAGCTAGGGGACAAAAACCAATGTGGTCTTTTTCTTTGCAACATATTACAAGTATTGATGCTTCCATGGAAAACTTCCCAACAAAAAGCACCGACTTTTGGGGGAATAGGAACACACAACACTTCATAAAAAAAGGACAAAGGGAATGGCCACTAAAGAATTAAAGAAGGATTTACAAGAGAAACCACCATCAGGATTAGGAAACTAGGAAACCACAAATGGCCATCCCCAACAAAATCATCAAGGATGACCCCATCCAACAAGTTTAAAAGGTTAGACACAGGGAAATTTCAGAATCTATAAGATTCCTACTCATGCCCACGCTCCAATTCAACCCAGAGGATGAAGAAAACAAATCTTTCAATGAGACTCTCCAAACCAAATATCTTCCCAAAATTTAATATTATTACCAGAGGACAAGCCATACTTAATATGGTTGAGAAATGAAGGTAGAATACCATGTATGGCTTCCCAGGGTAAAGCAAGGGTAGTTTTGTGCAACAAACAAGCATCCCAACCATAGTTTTCAAGGCGCCAAGACGAGGCTGGGTGTTAGGGGGGCGCCTTGTCGCCTAGTTGCCTAGGCGAGCGCCTAGGCAATGGATTTTTTTACATAGAAAATATAGATCCCAGGGTAGTTCCCTAGGTACCATAGCCATATTTCCTTAATAATTAATCATAATTTTCATAAGAAAGTATAGAGTTCATGTTAAAGTATAGAAAATGTGTTGATTAGACAAAAGTTTAAGTTCTTCCTTACTTATTGGTTCAGGTTTTAAAGTCTTTGAGGGTTCAATACAGCATTTAGCAATGTTTGTATTGATTAAATCCTAACAAATAAGAAAATAATAAAAACAAATTASTATATRAACACACAAAATGAATATTTTAGTTTAATAGTGCCTATTTTATAATTATAAAGTCAAAAAATAAAGAATAAAAAAGTATTTTACAATACATAGTACAAAACTGCTTGGCGATTAGGCAAGGCGAGCCTCAAAGGGTGCCTTGTCGCCTAGGCGTCGCTTTGACAACTATGATCCCAACCATTCTCTAATAGCCCATGAATGCTAGTCACGAGTCATGACCTTGTCCCAAAGCTTTTCAACCACTTATCCAAAAGAGAGAGATTTTTCTTACTCACGTTACCTATTCCCAAGCCACCCTCCTTCCTTCTACTCACTTTTTACCATCTAATCAATTGGCCTTTCTTCCCCTCCCCCAGTTGGCCAGTTCCCAAAGAAAATTCCTCATTATCTTATCAATTCTTCTCACTATCACCTGATGATGTAGGACCAGCTCAGTTCTAGTCCTTAGAGAATGTCGAATGGTCTCTTGGATCAGAATTTTATGGCTGTTGATGGCTGTAATGGCTTCTTAAAGGAATAAGAGAGAAAATATGGAGAGAAATAAGAGAGAAAATACTTGGAATCACTCACAGGGTGCCTAGAATCACTCTAGGGCATGGGAATCACTCACCATAGCTAGCATAAGCTGAAGAAAACTCAATAAACTTCATTGCCTTTGTGTAAAACGTCCATACATATTTATAGACTTTAAACTCATAACAATCCTAGAAGTCAAACTGTTAGACTCAAAATAGTCTTAGGAGTCAAATTGTTAGACTCGATAATCCTAGTAGGACTCAAACTAAACTGTCATATCCTATTTCAATTCAAAGAAGACTCAATAACTCTAATCCTACTTATGCAATGACTGAAATTTTAAATATAAACAAACTATAACTAGACAAATTAAACCCTATCATTGGACCCTACTGAAAAATTATATAATAGCAAAAATACCCTTGGTGTTTAATAATAATTCAGTCCAAATCCCAAGTACAATCACTATGTCATATCAGGACCTGTCGTAAGGCCTTCTTCTTTCTAGAATAAGTCTTCAAGGGTGTCGATCGATTCCTATCACCTGAGGCATCCTAAACACAAGCATGCAATGCACAAGGAGACTTGCTAGGGTGGACTTAATCAAAGTTAACCTACCCCCAAGCGAAATGTAGTTTCTCTTCCATATAGTTAATTGTCTTTCTATCCTTTCTACCACTGGAGCCCAAAAGCTAGTAGTTTTCGGGTTGGTTGGCACCTAAAGGTAAGCCTAGATACTTCAATGGCCAGTCACCACACTCACAACCTAAAACCACCACCATAGACCCCAACTTTCTTCTTCAAAATGCATACCTACTATCATACTCTTACCCCAATTGGCCTTCAAGTTAGACATTCTTTAAAACAATCTCACCACTAACTTCAAATTCTCAATTCTCAAATCATTGTTTATACTCCCCATAACAAAAAACTATTATATCGTTTGCAAATGGTAAATGGGTTACTACACCCTATCTCTTCCCACATTCCACACCTTAATCAATTGCATTCTATCAGCTACTAAAATCAGTCTATTCAACACATTTGCAACCAAAGTAAAAAGAACAAGGGATAAAGGATTACCTTGCCCAAGTCCCCTCACTGCCCCAAAAAAGTCCCTTATGATTCCATAAACCATGGTTTAAAATGTCCCTAATTCCCCTAATATTTCCAAAACACATTTCCATTTCCATGGATAGCAACACAAAATTTTACCAGAATTGACATATTCCTCAATGACCTCCATGGTTGATCTCCCTAGCTTAAACCAAAATTGATTTTCTAAAACATTTGGTTGTTGTAACCTTTGCTCAATTGTTCTCTCCTAAAGTTTCATAGTATAGCTCATGAATTTAATTCCACGATAATTTATAATTATTACAACTTTGTGTATCACCCTTGTTTTTAAACATAGGTATCATAGTGCTCTTTTTATATAACATATATTACATGCATCATTTTATAATATTTATATATTATAAATACATAATACATGTATGTATATTAACATGTATATTCAAGGCAGGGCCCTAGGCCCAGCCCACAAATTCTTAGGCCCAATGTGGGCCCAATCCAGAAAATTTGTCAACCAAGCCATACCAAGCCAGAAAAGGCTCTAGAAGAGCAAAGGGATGCAATAAGACATGGATTGAAGTAATAAAAAGGACTTGACAGCTTGCAATTTGAAAAATATATAACACTTCATAGAGTAAGATGGCAGGATTAAGATGTAGTTAACAAACTGAAAGAACTTAGTTAACTTGAGAATAAATTTCAGCATAATTTAGATCTCTATAACCTAAAGAACCATACATAGATTGAAGTAAAGAAAAGGACTTGACAACTTGAAATTTGAATAATATATAACCCTTCATAGAGTAGGATGACAGAATCAAGATGTAGCTGACAAACTGATAGAGCTTAGTTGAGTTGAATAAGTTGTGGATAAAGTTCAGTAATTTCAGCATAATTCAGATATCTATAACCTAAAGAACCATACATAGATCTGAAAACCAAGTAAGGAAATAACTATATAATTAATTATTTAAATCTATCCACAATTGAATGCATTTGTAAATAAATTATATCAGGTTAAACATAGTTCTCTCCTGTGCAGCTGTGCTTATAAAACCTCCCCCTAGATAGTAAAGGACAATTTGAAAGAAGCCAGGAACAAACTCACAATGTTCAACGTCTGGGGGACACAAAATATCACTTGTACAGAAGAATGATTTACAATGTATTTGACAGCATCTGGACCTGTAGAGGGGAAAAACACACAAAAAAAATTACAAGCCCATGGGCAAAGTAGGAAGGGATCCATTTAAAGCTCATTCTGTTGTCAAGAACCAACCAAGAGTGTCATATAAAGGAACTGATATGTAAGAATATGCTGAACAAGCATGATCAACAATGAGCCACTCCGGTCTGTTGATAAAATATAGTCCAATGCAAGAACCCTGCACACAAAATCATAAAGTACAAAAGGGAAAATCAGGTTTTATAATGGAAATGTAGCCCCATGGATACTAGTTTTAGATATGCAACCAGGCATTCATAACATGGAAAAGATCAGGAAGAAACAAACAAATTCATAAAACAAAGTAAAAAATGCTCATAAGATCATCCAACCATAAACTCACTTTTGGTATTCCATGGTATATTAGGCCAGAACCTATTGCCGCTCGAGCAGTACCTGCCTCTCCATATGTCATCCATTTGTACCTTTGAGTGCAAAGGATACATCCAAATGAATAAAAGAACATCAATGAGAATTTGATTTGTAATTTTAATGTTATAAAACAACTTACTCTCCAACTGTTCCATCCACCCGAACTCGTGTACCCAAATATTTGTAATCTTGGAATGTCTCAACTGCATGCCTAATTTCAAATATTAGAGGAAACACATTTAAGTCTTTTAATTGAGAAAACCAAGAGTTCGGAGACTCCAATTTAATTGAGGAAGAACAGAAGTGATGCTCACACAAAGTTGTCGTGCAAAGTTCCAATTTCAGGATGATCTGGAAATCTACTAACAAGCTTCAAAGGAGATTGTGCAGATCTGCCATCCAAGACTGATATCATAAACAACTCTTGAGAAACTAATTAAAAGGCATTTGAAGGGGGAAAAAACAGAGGCCAACCTACCTGTACACATTCCACTTTCCTGTTTGCAATTTTTCTGGAAGTACAACACTATAGCCCTGCCCTGTTCAAGATTTTAAGCCAAAATGCACATAAACATAGAAACAGGGGATAGGAACAATAAAAATCATGAAGAATTGCAATCTCCTAGTAAGACTGAACCAAATTGGCCCGTCATTAAGGACAAGTGTTTCTCAAAAAGATAAGTGTTTCTTAATTAAGCAAAGATAAGTGTTTCTTAATTAAGCAAATAGGATCCCCTAGAACAACAATTCAAAGAAACCAAAAGGAATGCCAAAGAAGCAGAGTATGACAAATTCCATAGGTTATGTTGAGAATGGTTAGACGGGTGTTTTTGGTCTTTTTGGTCTTTTTCTCTTTTCTTATACTCTCTCAGTATTTGGGCACCCAGATAGGGGCCTTCTTGTAATTATAATTTTCTCACATTATAAAGTAATCTTTTGAGGGTGTGAACAGTGAATAACACACACCTCTTGACTTGCTTTCTTCTTCTCTTCTCTTCTCTTGAAACCCTAGTTTCTGCAACTTGGTATCAGAGCGGGTAGAAGCATTTGGGAGTTGTTCTCTGCTGATCTCCTACCCGAAGGCAAATTGCTGACGTCAAACCACCACCGGATGACGTCAACAGTCTGTACAAGTGCCGACAGCAGTCTATGAAACCAGCACAATTTGATGCGCCCTGATTTTAGAAAAATTTTGGTATGACTCTTGTCATCACATGAAGCTTTTATGATTTTTGGTGGTTTTTTCAAGGAAAAAATCGCAGAAATTCCAGATCTGATGTCGAGCCATGTACAACAGGTTTAATGATATTTTTCTGCTGTAAAACCATGGTTTTCAAAACCGGACCAGACCGGACGGTTGGACCGGAAAAACCGAAAACCGGTCAGCCCCCGAGTCCAGTTATACTATAAACCGTCAATTCCTTAAAAACCATTGAAAAGTCAGAAAACCGCTGACCCGGGCGATCGAACCGCTAAACCGTTTGACTCGGGCAGTGGTTCGCGGGTTATATTTTTTATTTTTGTTGATTTAAATAAAATAAAAATAATAAAAATAAAATGACTCCCATATCCCCGACCCCAAATATTACGAATGCTTAGGGTTAGAACGACCCCCTTTTTCATTCTAACCTTCCCTCCTCTCAGCCCTCACACCCAATCGACCACAACCTACGGCGTCCGATGGCAACACACGGCAACGATGGCAATTCACGGCGACCGGCGACGGCGGTCAGCTTCATCTATGGCGGCCAGCGTTGATTTTGCAGCAGGTCCAGCCGTCCAGTAGTAACAGTTACGGTAGTAACAGGTCCGGCAACCAACTTGTAGCGATGGCTGGCGGTTTTGCAGCAACAGGCAATTTTGCAACGACGGGCAGGGGTTTCTAGTGGCAATAACAATTGCAGGCTTGCAGCAGCACTTGCGACAGCAATCACCTGCATGCAACCAAGCCCAAGCCCACCGTCACACCACCATTATCGGCGGTGACCATCTTTGTTGCTGGTGCCATGGCGGGGGCAGTGATAGCCAAGCTTGAGCATGTCAAGGAATTCATAGCTCAAAAATGCAGAAAATTTGTAGCCCCAATTAGCCCAGAAGCTGTCGTAGTGCGAACCATCAGAAACTTGCGTAGTTTCCAGTATATTATTTCACTCAGCCCGCCTCTCCCATGACTTTCCAGACCAACCAACCCGGATTTGCCCCTTGCAAGTCTCTCAGCATTTTGGGAGCAGAGCATGCAAAATCCAGCAATGGATCTTAGAAGCTTTGAACAGCATGACTCTTTCTGCGTTGGCATTTGAGTTGTCTCCCCTCCTCTTTCAATCGGCACACTCAACGCAAATAGCTCCGGTGGCCCTAGCTTCTGCCTCTATCAGGCGGCGACAGCCCCTACCCTCCCCTACCACGCTTCCCCAAGAACCCATTTTTCAGGATTCAGCGGGGTTATCTTACGCTCTCATTGTCTGGGCCATGATCTTTCTGAGCCTCTTGCAAAGACCTTTGGTGTTTGGGACCTTATTGACAGTGGTGGCAATTTCAAAACTGGATATATTCTGGTTCCTCTGATGATACAAATTACAAGCTTGATTGATTTTCTGTTGCTTCCTGACTTCCTGTCACTGCCCCGTTGGTTGCCATCGCCAATTTAATTGAGCGCTTAGTCCTTGGCATTAGAATCTTGGTCATCGTGACCATTGTTGAGCTCATCCGCACACATGTTGTGATTCACCATCTTTTGTCACTTGGCATCGGATTACGTTAGTTCTTTTTCATGCAGTCTTTGGAGTCAGAGATGATGATGAGGATTTCCAGAGTAAAGCTAATTGAATTCAGTCTTAGATTCTCAATTTATGGATATAAGATGATCTAGTGTTCTATTAAGGCCCTCCAACAATGTCATAGTCATCTAATAATCTAATAATCTGTTTGTTTTAAATTTTATTCATGTTGGTTTCCTTTATTGTTAATTGTTTTGATAGTTTTATTTTTCTATATTTTTTTATTTTTTTTTTGTGTTTTTTCTGTATTTTTTAGAATTTTTTTGTATTTTATTTTTATATTTTTTATGTATTTTGTACTGTATTATTTTTGTATATAGATTGTTTTATTTTCTGAATTTTTTCTGTTTTTATTTAATTTTGGGAGAATGACCAATCAGACCATATCAGAATTTTATAGCCCCAAAGTACAGGGGGAATGCATCCTGACTGTGAATTGATGCCAAATTCACGGGCAGGATGTTGTTTATAGGGGGGAGAGGGCTAGAAGTAGGGGGGCTGGAATTCAGAATTCTACATCGTATGTATCCGTACTTCTCTGTTTAATTTTATGCTATTTTCTATTATTTATAAATATATTTTTATTTTTAATTTATTTATGATGTCACAAGTCGAACCGCTCGACCCGGACGATTGAACCGCTTAACCGGAAACGGGTCCTCTGACTGGTTCTGTTTCTAGTTCGTTTTTAAAAACCTTGTGTAAAACCTAGACCATTCAGGTCGTTTTTCAATTTGGGATTGACGAGAAGTGGTCCCGTAATTTTCTGAGCATTGTGCAATTTTTGGGAGACTTTTTTCTCCCTCTATTTTGCCACCAACCTAGTTTTTTGGGTCTTCCTTTGGTTCTTAACCATGTGGTAACCTAGTTTTTGGGTCTAGACCTCGGTTAAAGTGTTGGGGTCCTTTTTGGTTGGTGAAAAGGTATCTTGTTAGAATATGGAATCATCTAAGGATTTTCAGATGGTTCCCAGCGTGCTCCCAGGAACTACAAATATTTCCAGTGGTAGGATAACTACTATTAAACTAGATGGAACTAATTTTTTTAGAGTGGTCTCAATCTGCTAAACTTACCATTACTAGGAGGGGTAAACTAGAATTCATCACAGGAAGGGAAGGGAAGCCAAGTCCTGAAGACCCGAAATTTGCAAGGTGTGAACAAGACAATTCTCTTGTTATGTCATGGCTGATTTGCTCAACCTCATAATGCCCGAAATTACATTATTCTTCCATCTACCAAGGATATCTGGGAGAGGGTAGTTGCTACTTATTCCCAAGTTAACAATATTGCCAAAGCGTATCAGCTTCGGAGAGAAGCTTCCAGTATGCATCAAGGGGAGAGATCTATTGCTATGTATTTCTCTCCTCTACAGTCCATCTGGGAAGAAATGGATCACTTGAAAGTTCTAGTTTGGAAGGACCCTGAAGATGGTGAGCAATATCGGAAGTACATAGAGGAGAATAGAGTCTTTGATTTTTTGGCAGGCTTAAATCCAGAGTTTGATTTCACCAGGCAACACATTCTTAGTGCAAGCATTGTCTCTCTTGCTACTGCTTACTCTCTTATACAAGGAGAAAAAAGCCGAAGAACCGCCATGATGCAATCCTCTATGAGTGATCATTCTGCCTTTATGTCATATCGACCCAAGCAAAATACTAGCAAACATCCCATTGCAGAGAAGGTCGAGGATGTTATTTGTGAGTACTGCAAGAAGCCAAGACACACTAAAGAAAGGTGTTGAAAGCTCAATCCTCATCTAAAACTGGAGAAGTACAAAATCAGGAAGAAGGGCAATGCGCACTTCTCTACAATTGGTAATGATGCCCAGCCCTCAAATGTGTTTGACTCCTCTGATGTGATAGACAAACTCAAGAATATATTGTTGCAGCTAAAGAAGGGTGGTACATCATCCTCATCTGGTTCTAGACTTAATAATCTGTTTAGTTCATATGCCAAGACAGGTACAGCACTTGATTGTTCCACCTCCTTTAGCCCATGGATTGTAGACTCTGGGGCCAGTGCCCATATGACTGGTATGCCTTCACATTTTACCTCATGTAAGTTAACCCCGAGGAAGGGCAAGATTACTGTTGTTGATGGATCTCAGACCCCAATCTCAGGTTAGGGTGAAGTCAGAATCAGTAATAACCTTTCTCTTGACTCTATCTACATGTGCCCCAGCTACAAAAAGAATTTATTGTCTATTAGTTTTCTAACAAAATCCCACAATTGCTCAATGACCTTTTTTTTCCAACCACTGTGTTTTCAAGACCTGAGCATGAGGAAGACAACTGGAAGTGGGCATGAAGTTGATGGAGTCTACCTCCTGGATGGACCTTCAAAGAATGGATTGTCAAGCCAGACTGAGTCTTGTTCCAATGAGAAAATGAGTTTTGAAATTAGGGGTGGCAACGAACCGAACTTTTCACAAGTTGCTCGAGCTCAGCTTGTAAAAAGCTCGGCTCGGCTCAGCTTCATCCGAGCTCGAGCCCAATTCAGTGGCTCGATTATTAAACGAGCCGAGCTCGAGCCTACTAGAGCTCAGTTCGTGAGACTCGCGAGCTAGCTCAAATATATATATATATAATTTTTATTTTTATAAAATATTAAACAAGCTGAACCGAGCCTCTCGAGCTTATGAACTTTTGACTCGAGCCAAGCTCGAGCTCGAGGTCGAGCCTTGTAGAATAGTCTCGAGCCGAGCTCGAGCCTGGTACTATTCGGCTCGGCTCAAATCTACTCCTATTTGAAATTATGGCATTGTCGCCTTAGTCATATTATCAATTTTGTCAAGCTTTTGTTTCCAAACTTGTTTGATTATGTGTCCAAATTGAATTTTGAATGCAAAGTTTGTCATTATCCAAACAATGTAGAAACACATATTTTGCAAGCAGTAAAGGAATTAATGTTACTTTCCATTTGATCCATACTGATGTTTGGGGCCCATATGTTGTCCCCTGTATGGGGAGTACAAATATTTCATTCTCTTCGTTGATGACTATAGTCGGTATACATGGCTTTATTTGATGAAAAGTAGAGATGAAATTCCTATAATTGTTCAAAACTTCATGAATATGGTCAAAACACAATTTGATAAAAGAGTTAAGATAATAAGATCTGACAATGCCAAGGGATACTTTGAACATCACTTGCATAGATTTCTTGAAGACAGGGGCATTATTCACCAAAGTTCATGTAGTCATACTCCACAACAGAATGGGGTGGTTGAAAGAAAAAACAAGCATGTGGTTGAAGTTGCTCAAGGCTTATTGTTCCGCACTCATGTTCCAACTCATTTTTTGGGTGATGTTGTTGAGACAGTTGTATATCTCATTAATAGACTCCCATCAAGGGTCCTTAACCTTCATTCTCCTCATCAACTACTCTTCCCTAATGAACCTCCTCTTAATCTACCCCTTAAGATCTTTGGTTGTGTTTGTTTTGTTCATGATATGAGTCATTCTCAGCACAAGTTTGACCATAAATCAGCTGAGTGTGTATTCCCTGGTTACTCTCCAGTCCAAAAAGGCTATAGATGCTTTGATGCTCTCTCTGGCAAGATATATGTCTCTAAAGATGTTAGTTAAACTCTACTAAAGGAGAAGTTCTTCCAGACATGGGGTATATCAGAGATTGGTGGGACGTCTTCTGTATTTTTGTTTAACTAGACCTAACACTTCCTATGTTGTTGGAGTGGTTAGCCAATATATGCATGAACCCAGGACATCCCATATGCAAGCAGTTAATAGAATTTTAACCTACTTGAAAGGATGCCCTGGCAAAGGGATGTTGTATTCCAACCACAGCCATCTAAAGATTGAGGCTTACACAAATGCCGATTGGGTAGGGCCCATCGATGATAGAAGATCTACATCCGGTTATTGTGCCTCAATTGGAGGCAATGTTGTTTCCTGGAGAAATAAGAAATAATCTGTGGTTGCTCGTTTTAGTGTTGAGGCAGAGTACAGGGCAATGGCTCATGGAGTGTCTAAATTACTTTTGTTGATGAAGACCTTATTAACATGGGCATCCAAGCAGATGTTCCAATGAGACTATATTGTGACAATCAAGCAGCCATAAATATTGCTCACAATCCTATCAAACATGATCGTACAAAGCACATTGAGGTGGATAGACACTTTATTAGAGAAAGAATTGCTAGCAAAGAGATTTGCCTTCCTTTTGTAAGGTCAGAAGGCCATCTAGCTGATTGCCTCACTAAAGGTGTTCACCATCCAAAGTTTGCTAAGAACCTTGTCAAGCTGAGCATGATTGACATATATGTTCAGCTTGAGAGGGAATGTTGAGAATGGTTAGACAGGGGTGTTTTTGGTCTTTTCCTCCTTTCTTGTACTCTCCCAGTATTTCGGCACCTAGATATAGAGGTGTAAATTGGGTCGTGTCGCCCGCGGCCCGGCATGACGGTTTGTGGGCCGTGCCAGGCCCGGCACGACCATGCAGGCCGTGCTACCCGCGGGCTGGCCACAGCCTAATAAATATATTTATATATATTTTATATATATTATAATTATACAATAACATATAGTATATAATATATTAATAAAATAAATATTTTTTTAATTTTATTATACTAATTTATTTAATTACTGCATATATAAGCAATTTTATACACAAAATTCATATAAAATTAAAATTTTAAGTTTTTTTGTCAATTTTTTTAATAAATAGCTTTGGCCCGATACACGGCCCAACCCGGCCCATGGGCCAGCCCGGCCCGTGGCACGGCATGGGCCCACAAGGGCCTGGGCCATGGGTTGTGCCAGGCCGACCCCCAAATTTTTCGACAAGGAGGGCAGCACTGCCCGCGATGGCCCGCGGGCTAGCACTTTGTACAGGCCACCCATGGGTTTACACCTCTACTAGATAGGGGCCTTCTTGTAATTATTATTTTCTCAAATTATAAAGTAATCTTTTGAGGGTGTGAACAATGAATAACACACACCTCTCGACACTTGCTCTCTTCTTCCTCTTCTTCTTCTTCTTCTTCTTCTTCTCTTCTCTTCTTCCTCTCTCTTGAAACCCTAGTTTCTACAACTGGTTAATTTACTTAATGTATAGCTAGTGAATTGTGAATATAAAGTAAAATACAAGTTGATCTTGTAATAACTAAGCCATTTAAAAATTATTGTATTTTATGCCTTAGCAGGTTAAACTCAAATACACAAGCATGCACATATACACTGCAGGTAAAAAAAGTTGAAAATGTTGCAGCTTTTAAAATTTGGCACTCCCAAAATTCAGTTCCACTCCATGAACCCACCCGCTGCATGATCTGGTTACTAGAAGAACTAATTAGTTCCCTAAACTAATAAGTAAGTGGAAAATTGTGGTTTGAAACATCAAGTGCAAAAAGTATGGTGGAATTCTACTAAAATTAGTAAATAATAAACAAAAATAATAGAAGATGATGATGATACCATGAAGTACCATGGAAACCATTTTTGGTAATCCTTAACCTATTGTAGAACTTAAGCCTTAAAAAAGTGAAAATCATGCATCACCAAGTTTGTTTTCTAAAATTCTAAGGACTTATTTATCCCATTCTTTTGAGAGAGGAACTCAAAAACAACCCATGAATGGAAGAGACTTGATTAAATGAGTTAATAGGGTTGCTAAATCCATTTAACAAGTAAACATGTGGAGGCTTCAAAAACCACATGTCTTCTTGTTTTATCCCAATCTTGGTGCACTAGTAAAATCTCACGCAAGCATGAGAGAGAACTTAGGCTCTAGTCTGAGTCTCTAACAGAAACCACTTTGTGTAAAAATGGTATAGGTACTTAGGTTTGCATCCAATCCACTCCTCCCAAGAAGTGGAATAACACATCAACTGTAGGGTTTCAATTTGGGCAGGCTTGGTTGAGCTTTTGTTAGAATTTCAATGTGCCCAGGCCAATGCCATGTAAATTCTTCAAATAGGGTACAGACTTGGACCTCTAATCAACCGCGTACTATACTACATAGTTTCACGTATTTCATTTCTGAACCCATTTTGTCTTCAATTGTTTGTTGTTATTTTGGTGCAATATTGCCTCACCCTACTAATTATTTCATTCAAAAACATGGTTGTCTTATCTGTTACGCAAAACACATAAACACAGATTCAAATGGCATCCAAAAAGTGGAAGAAAAACAGAGATAAAGAGAAGTAAATAGAGAGAACACACAGATTTATGTGATTCGGCTTAAATCCTACACCCACGGACGAAGGAGGAGCAGAAATCAGATTTAAAATGAGTACAAAGCTGTTTACACACAACCTCAATCTCAGAAAACCGTAAACCCCAAACTCAAAAAACCCTAAACCCCAAATACACCAAAAAATCGCTCAATTTCTCTCACAAGCCAAATAGAAGTATAGAAGAGAAAAGCCCCGAGTACATAACTCTTCTTATTTGGATCAGACCCATAAACTGAACATAGATTGCATCCATAACACTTATACTTCTATCACAAATCACTATAAAATTTTGCCTTCGGGTTTTTTTCTCAACTTGATACGGAGCGGATTCATGAAGAGGGTCGCAACAAATAATCCAAATCACAAACATAACATTATCTTTTTCTGAGAACGGGGTGCTGTAAAGCCAATTTTATAGTCAAAGAATAAAGTGTCTAGTTCTGAAAACTCCGCTCCGATTCACAGATTAAGAAGTTCGATCAAAGATTCGAAAGTGCGTCAAAAATGCCCAACCATTAAATTCTCTCCTCGTAAAAAGCAGTGGGGATTAAAAAGAAAAAAAGCTTTTTCAACTCAGAATGAAAAGTAACTACGAGACTACGAGTCTACGACCACCAGAAAGCTCAAACGCTATCATTGCAATGTCATGGAGGGCCCAACCAAAACAAGCAGAAGAGCTACAAACCAATAGCAATAACAAAAAAGCGCATGATCATTAGACACGACTAATTTGACATGTTAACCCGTATTCTGCAGGAACCCTAGCTCTAGAATGGAAACAATAACTAGAAGGCCTCGCTTCAGTTGACCAATATCCCGGTTTCGAAGTCCGATTTGTTTACTCACGCATTATCATATAGACGCTAGCAGAAAGAAAAAGTTACCGCTAACGAACTCTCCAGCAGTCTCGTTCGTCCGAAGCTGCAACTGTGTGTCGCCGGCGGTGGAAACCAGATGGCCTTGAATTGCTTTCAGGCGACGGCAAGCGGGTGAATCCATCGAATAGTCGGGGACAAAAATCTGCGTCACTGATTTTCGGATTCGTACGCTCTGTCTTCAGCCCAGGTCAGAATTCTTTTACGGATGGTATCTGCTTTCTGTTTTGATTGGGATTCCCGTTTAGAATGACATCACGTCTCCGAGCGGAAATGACGTGCACGGCTTGGACAAGTGTCCAGAGCGGCTTCGGTTGGTGTAACCGTGTAAGCCCGTGCGAAATCCCGAACCCGGCCGGGCTCGGGCCGGGCTTTTTTGACAAATTCCGAGTCCGGCCCGAAACACAGTCGGGCTTACTGTGTTAGGCCCGAGGTCAGACCCGCAAGCCTAATTACATGATCAAGCCCGATTGGGGTGCGGGCCGGGCCATCGGGCTTCCCGGCCCATGAGCAGGTCTACACGCAATGAGTTACTAGTACGAATACATCATCTCTGGTCAAAATAGCCGAATTCGGAACCCAATCCCTAAGCATGATGGAAAGTGCGAAAAAGCCATCTTCGGGGAACATAACTAACAATTGCAATTCATCTTGTGAATTTGAGCTTCTTTTCAAGGAGAATTCGTCGAGGGAAACAGTGTCCGACACTTCTTCGTTTTCTTCCGTGGAGCTCGGGGAAGGGGAAGAAAATAAATCTGGGGAGATAGAGAGGGAGAGAGAGAGAGAGAAATGTGAAGGAATCTGAGGGGATTACCGCCTACTATTCGTGCATCGCAAGGTTAGGAACGATGAACAGTGCTTTTCTTCCGGTCGTTGGAATAATTATTATGAGGGTAATATGAGGATTAAAAAATATTGTAACGATGGATTTTAACGGAAAACTAACGGAAGGGGGTCTTTTTCTCATGGTCATAGTACAAGGGGGTCTTTGTCACTGACCCCATAGTACGGGGGGGTCTTTGTAATTTATTCTAAATAATATCCTTAAAAGGGAGGAGTTTTATTGGGCCCAAAAATCTAAAATTGATTGGATCAATCTAGGGGATAGGAGTTTTTTCATACAATGGCTACAATTAGGAGGGCGAGAAATAGGATTGTCTATATCAAAGATGAGGATGGAATTGTAATAAATGATCATAATGAAATTGCTGACTACTTTTGTAAGCAATTTGAAAAAAAAGATTACAGGCCCGGGAGAATAATAATATTAAATAAGTCAATAGGGGTATAATTCATTGTATTAGTGATGATCAAAACAATGATATTGGGAGGGATGTTATTGATGAAGAAATCCTCTATGCCCTCACTCTATGAAGGATCTTAAAGCATGGGGACTTGATGGTCTCAATGTTTTATTTTTTCAAAAAATATTGGAATATTGTTAAGGATTTAGCGTGCAAAGTAGTAAAAGCTTTCTTTCATTCAGGAAAGTTATGTAGGATTCTCAACAAAACCTAAATTTCACTCATTCCAAAAAAGAAAAATGCTTAATCAGTGGATTGCTTTAGACCTATTAGTCTTTGCAATGTTATTTATAAAATTATTTCAAAAATTTTAGTAAATAGAATCAAGCCTCTGCTGGATAAAATCATTCCCTTGTATCAGAGTGCATTTATTCCTAACAAACAAATCAATGATAACATTCTTCTTGCCCATGAGATGATGCATTCTATGAGAAATAAGAGGGGGAAAATGGGGGTAATGGCTTGCAAGATTGACATGGAGAAGTCTTATTACAGATTGGAATGGAATTTTATTGAGAAAGTCTTAAGGAAATTTGATTTCCATGAGAAATGGATAAATTGGGTTAAGGAATGTATCAAAACAGTTTGTTACCAAATTTTAATTAATGGGAAGCCTACTAGAGAATTTCACCCCATGAGAGGTTTAAGACAAGGAGACCCTCTTTCCCCTTATATATTTGTTCTCTGTGTTGAACTCTTAGTTAGATTGTTGGAGTAAGAGTATTTGAAAATGGTATACCCTTTTGGCTACAAAATTGCTAGTGGTGCTCCTACGATTCCCATCCTACAATTTGCTCATGATTGTCTTATTTTTTCTGAAGCTATGATCCTTGCGGGTCTTAAGGTCAGAGAAATACTTGATAACTATGCAAAGGCATTGGGTCAAAGCCTTAATCTTTCAAATTTATGAAGATTCCAATAGAAGCAAATTACAAATCCTATTTAGGTGCCCCCATTATTAGAGGAAGGTCACAAAAAACACTTTTCTTGATCTCCGTGAGAAAATTGTTAGTAAGTTGGCAAATTGGAAAAAAGAACTCTCTTTCTATAGTTGGTAGAATCACTCTTCTTAACTCCAATGTCAGTATGATTCCTCATTTTATGATGGGATCCTTTCAAATTCCAAAGAACATGATTGAGGAGATTGATTGAATTCAAAGGGGTTTTCTCTGGTCCAACTCTAATGGCAGGAAGCTGATTCACCTTATGAAGTGGGAAAGAGTTTGCACTCCTAAAGATAAGGGTGGTTTAGGCTTTAAGAACCTTGCCTGGGTTAATGAAGTCAACCTTGAAAAATTAGGTTGGAAAATCCTTACTGGTGAAAACAATTTGTTGGTCAGAGTAATTAAAAGTAAATATCTAAAAACAAGTAAGTTCTTGGATGTTAAAAGCAAGAAAGGTATCTTGTGGGCTTGGAGAGGAATCCTTTTGGCTAGAGAGCTTATGAAGGGTTTGTGTTGGAAAATTGGCAATGGTAATTCAGTGATTTTTTTGAGAGATAGATGGATTGGAAATAAAGCTATTGTGAATTTGGTTCCTCAAGATAACATTGGTAATGAGGAACTCTTAGTGAGTGATGTGATTGATTAAGAAAGAAAAATTTGGAATAGAAAGAAAATATGCAATTTTGTTCCTTATGATATTTGGATGAAGATCAAAACTATTTTCATCCCATCAGAGTCTAAAGTGGATGAATTGGTGTGGTGCTTTAATGTTAATGGCAAATTTTCTTCAAATTTTGCCTATAGATTGTAATGTGATAGTATTTCAAACCCAATAGATAGGTTTAATTGGAATAGAAACATTTGGAATCTTAAGTGCTTGCCTAAACTTCAAGTGTTTTTGTACCTATTGTGGAATTATCGGCTTCCCTCTAAGGCTCTCCTTAGACGAAAGGGTTTCAACATTAATGATGACTATGATGTTTGTGGTGAAGATGAGGATGTGGATCATATCTTTAGGAAATGCTCTATCGCTAGGAGTTGTTGGGGAATTATCCTCCCAACTATCCAAGGGCTTGATGATCAAGAGAGATCCTTAAAATATTGGTGGCAGAACCTTTCAAAGAGTTTGTTGCTTGAAGGGGATTGGCAAAAGGAAAAATGTGTTTTCATGTTATGGCATCTGTGGAAGAGTAGAAATTTGAGGGTTTTTAAGAATCTTTCGACTCCTCTTTTTAAGGTCATTGACAATGTCTTCCACTCGCTTATGGAATTTCAAGAGTGTTCAAATAAGTCTAATGGGGAAAGTTTAACCAAAGACCATAAATATATAAGGTGGAACCCCCCAGATTTTGGAGGACGATATGTGCACCATTACGGCTCTTGCTAGGAATCACTTGGGTGCAGTTTTGGATATTAAAGCTTATAAATTAGGTTTTACCTCCATAAATAGGGTGGAAGCTTGGGCTGCCTGGGAAGCCCAAAATTTGGCCTTGAATTTCACAAATTTTCCTCTCATAATTGAGGGTGATTCCAAGATTGTGATATCTTTTCTTAACAAGTCTTGTCCATGCACGTGGAACCTAAGGAGCATCATTCAAGATTGCTGGGAGCTCAAGGAGAGGTGCGGGAAGGGAATCATTTACAAGCATGTTTTTCGAGAAGCAAATCAAGCTATGGATTGGTTGGCTCACCATGCTCATGAAGCCTAGTTGCTAAGTGATAGTTGTGTCTCTCTGAACCTTTGTAAGTTGCTTTGGCCTTTTGCGTTTATTTGTTTTAATGATTTGTGGGGACGTGCTACCCCCTGTCTTGTGTAGCCCCTTACGTTTATTATAAAAAAAAAACAATCATAGAGGAAAGAGATGTATTGCCACACGATGGTGATGAACATTAGACAATGTTAATGAAGCTTAACATGGGTGAATGTATGTGAAGGTTTCCCTCAAGATAACTTTGGTTGTTGAGGGCTAACAGTTAGAGAGTTTAGGCTGGGCACGTTCACCTATTTGTCATGGGAGGGCTTGCCACTTAGCTTAATGGGAGGGTTAGGTAGGGGAAAGAAGGGAGAGAATTAATGAGAGAGGAAGAAGGGGGAAGGGAGGAAGGGGAGGGTGGGTGATGTGGCATTTTTGTGTGATGCTTGGGCTTTGTTAAGCAGAGTAGAAAATGTCACTTAAATTATAATCCATGTAAATTAATAATTTATATTAAAAATTTTTACCAAAATTAAGTAAGTTTCAATGAATTACCAAAATTATTAATTTAATTTAATTTTTTGGTAATTTAAATTATATTACCAAAATTACCCATGTTAGTTTTCGGTAAATTACCAAAGTTAATAATGTTCAATAGTATAACAAAATTAACCATAATTAATTTCCTGAAAATTAATTTTTGATAAATAAATTTACTAAAGTTAATTTTCAATTAACTATTATATCTTGGTAAGTAATTTTGAATGCAATGAAAATATAATTAGTCAATTCACTGAATAAAAAGTAATTATAGTTAAATCATAATAAATATAACTAGTCAATTAAAAGTAGTTTTATAAGATTAGTTTTCGGTTAATCAGTAATTTACTGTTCAATTTCAATAATTATTGTTAAACTAATGTTAAATTAATATAACCAGTCAATTCATTAAATTTCAAAAATTATTGAAAGTAAGTAATTATAGTTAAATCATAATGAATAAGACTAGTAGACCCGACCCAATCCACCAACCCAAATACAATAATCTCTTTGACCTGAAATACTGATAAAGACATATAGGTTTTGTTTGGTACCATTGTCACTTTTACTTGCAATGTTTTGTGTTGGTCAATACAAAATTTTGAAAAATTGTCTTGTTACATCATTGTCAAATAACCACTTCCGCACTAAATTTGATATTTTCTAAAGAAGCAATAACTAGTGTTGCATTGATAACTCATGCATTTGTGGTAGAAAAAAATACATATTCTCATAAAAATT